CCCTGGCTGGTATAGCGGCGCTGGTCCTCGATGATGGTCGGCTTGTTCCTTGTTTCTCTGAAGTGCGTTTTCTATGCGTTGATGGGTGTCCTCCCATACCTGCTCACTTCGTTTCATCCATTCGTCTACTGCCGGAACGTCCGTCTGCGCGCCAGTCCATGGAGCTAAGGGTGGCTGGTAGCCTAGGAAGCACTGAAAAGGGGTCCCCGTGACAGAACTGGTTAAAGAGTTTGGGCCATTTCTGCCCATACCAAATATCTAGCCCAGTCAGAGGGATTGTCATGACAGAACAATCGTAAAAATTTTCCCAGTTCTTGATTCACCCTCTCACACTGTCCGTTAGCTTGTGGGTGATACCCTGAAGTGAGACTAATTGACACCCCAATCTGATCGAAGAATGCTGCCCATACCTGAGAGGTGAACTGAAGCCCCCTGTCAGAAACTATGTCTTCAGGAATTCCAAAATTACGAAAAACCTGTTGAAACAAGGTTAAAGCTGTCTGAAAGGCACTGGGAATAGCTGGGAAAGGTACGAACCGTACCCCTCTGGAGAATCGGTCCACCACAGTAAGAATGGTTGTAAACCCTTGTGATTCTGGCAGGTCAGTTACAAAGTCTACAGCGAGGTGGGGCCACGGTCTGTGAGGTACGGGTAGTGGCATTAGCTTTCCTGCAGGTAACATCTTGGGTGTCTTGCACTGAGAACAAATGGAGCAGGAAGAGACCAATGAATGTATGTCTCTGGTCATGGATTCCCACCAATAGCGTTGTGCTAGGAGTTTGTGTGTGCGGGTTTCCCCTGGATGTCCTGACGTCAAAGATGAATGAGCCCATGTAATAAGCTGTGTGCGGAAAGCTTCTGATACATACAACTTGTCTGGGGGGCATTGGCTGGGTAAGTCTAGACCGCGATTGGTTCTTTCTATTGCCTCATCTATCTCTCATCGAATAGAAGATATGGTGACTTCAGGGGGCAGAATGTGTTCTGGGTTCTCCGGGCCTGGTATGGTCTTTTCCCCCTGATGAAGGCGGGACAAGGCATCTGCCTTAATATTGCGAGAGCCAGGTCTATATGTGATGCTAAACCGAAACCTAGCAAAGAACAGAGACCACCTGGCTTGACGAGGATTTAGCCTTTTCGCATTACGGAGATATTCCAAGTTCTTATGGTCTGTGATTACTGAAAAAGGGTGATTGGCTCCCTCCAGCCAATGTCTCCATTCCTCCAGGGCCAGCTTGACTGCCAGCAACTCTCAATCCCCTATCCCGTAATTTTTCTCAGCGGGGGATAACTTATGTGAGTAAAAAGCGATGGGGTGTAGTTTCTGAGAAGAGCCAGTCCGTTGGGATAAAACTGCGCCCACGCCGGTTTCCGAGGCATCCACCTCTACCACAAATGGTTGGGCAGGGTCAGGGTGTTTAAGAATAGGAGCGGAGGTGAACGCCTCTTTAAATCGCTGGAAGGCTTTCTCTGTTTGTGCATTCCATGTGATTCTCTTGGGGTTTCCCTTTAACAAAGATGTGAGAGGGGCAGTGATACTACTAAAATTACGAATAAGCCTACGATAAAAGTTAGCAAAACCCAGAAATCGCTGCACATCTTTGACAGACTTGGGGGTTGGCCACTGAACCACGGCATCCACTTTGTGATCGTCCATAGTGACGCCTTGCTGACTAATGATGTACCCTAGGAACGACACGGACTGTAAATGGAACTCACATTTTTCCCCTTTTAAAAACAGATTATTCTGCAAGAGTCTACGTAGAACCGATCGAACGTGTTGTACATGTAACTCTAAGTTGGGTGAATAGACAAGGATATCGTCCAGGTATGCGATGACATAGTGTCCTAACATGTCTCTGAGAACATCATTAATAAATGCTTGAAATACAAAGGGGGCGATAGAGAGCCCAAATGGCATTACCTGATATTCGTAGTGCCCCCTGGTGGTCAAAAAGGCAGTCTTCCACTCATCACCCTCCTTCACCCTAATAAGATTATATGCGCTACGTAAGTCTAACTTGGTGAAATACTTGGCCCCCTGAAGTTGTTCCAAGGCGACCGGCACCAATGGAAGTAAGAAATTTGATTGAGGGCTCTATAATCAATGCAAGGACGGAGGCCGCCATCTTTTTTCTTTATAAAAAAAAAACTGGAGGCTATGGGGGATGTGGATGGTCTAATGAATCCTTGACTGAGGGCTTCTTGGATGTAGATGTCGAGAGCCTTCTGCTCATCTTGGGTCAGAGGATAAATCCTGGCTTTGGGGAAAACAGGGTTTTCTATGAGCTCTATAGCGCAATCATAGGGTCTATGAGGCAGCAGTTTGGTGGCGTTCTGTTTGTTGAACACTTCTTTCAAATCAAGGTATTCAGGGAGGATTTCAAAAATGGACTCAGCGTTTGGACTTTCCACCGAGGTAGAACATAGGGATAAGGAAGGAGTAATCAGGCATGACTGAAGGCAATATTCAGACCATCTAGTGATAGTGTGTTCGGACCAGGAGATAATGGGATTATGTTTTTCCAACCAAGGGAGTCCTAGGATTAACTCAAATTCTGAATTTTCCAGTACGAGGAAGGACAGAGCTTCTTTGTGTAGGGCACTTGTTTCTAGTTCTAATGGACTCGTGACTTGGGAGATGGTGCCAACTCCTACTGGTCCTCCGTCCAAAGCAGCCACTTTAAGCTTGGTTTGGAGGGTCTTCACGGGAACTTGTAGTTCTTCCACCAGTCTGGCATGGATGAAGTTCCCCTCCGCGCCGGAATCGATCAAGGCTGAAACGATAAGAGAGTTTGGATGACAGTAGATAGAACTCCACGTGCTGTCCAGGGGTCGGCGCTGTGCTTTTTTGTGGTCGGGCGCGGCATTCACAAACTTGGTGTCCAGCCTTTCCACAATACAAACATAGATGATTTTCCAAACGGCGCTGCCTTTCTTCTCGCGATAAACGGGAGGAGTCACACTGCATAGGTTCGGGACTCTCACTGAGCTCCTGACCGAACTTTACACGAGGGAGTGATCTTCGCGGGTTTCTTCCACCCTTGGCTGTGTTACGGTGATGTATCAGATGGTCTAATTTAATGGCTAGAGTTATTAACTGATCCAGCGTTAAATCATCATCTTTACTCGCTAGTTCACTTAATATTTCGGCATTCAGTCCTTGGCGGAACATAACAAGAGGGGCTGCCTCATTCCAGCCGCTGCTCGCGGCTAGGGTTCGAAATTCTAATGAATAGTCCACCACAGAGCGATTCCCCTGACGGAGCTTCATTAATAATTCCCCACTAACCTTACCCTTGTATGGATGATCAAACACCATCTTAAAGTCCTTGATAAAAAGTTCATAAGTGAGACGGTGTATCTGAGTCCAGCTAGCGGTAGCCCATTCTAAAGCTTTCCCAGCTAATCTAGAGACTATGAAAGCAATCTTAGCCTGGTCTGAGCTAGCAGGTGAATTGTCAAAATACACTGAGCACTGAGGCAGGAATCCACGACATTTCGCTGGGTCTCCGTCAAATTTATCGGGTTTACTGACCGGAAAGACTGCGAGGGGTGGTTCCGCTGTCGTGGTATGATGCCCCGGACTGGCTGCAGCTTCAGTGAGACTCATACTCTGTAGTTGGCCCATTAATCCTCGCACACTGGCGACCAGTTGGGCCAACTGTGCCTGCTGTTCTGCCTGTTGGTGAGCGATGGACTCCAGGGACTGAGTCACTCCTGACAGGACCTGCTGGTGTCGTCCAAGAAGTTGCCCTTGTTCAGTAAGAGCCTTTTGAAAGGCTACCGGGTCCGCCATCTGCATGTCGGGCGAGGTATTCTGTGATGATTCAACAGAATTCAGACGCTCGCGGATAAAAGGAGCAACAGTTGTTTTATTATCGTCAGGCAAAGCCGTGGTCAGAAAACAGGCGTGGGTCAAATCCAAAAAAGCCAGCCAGATCACAATTGTGATAATAATACCAGGCAGTCAAGATCAAAGGGAATAAAGCAAAAATCGTGGTCAAAGAACAAGCCAAAACGTCAAAAACACAGATCCACAAACAGCAGGCAGAAGTACCAAGGGGTTAGGCAAAAAACAAGGTCAGGGAAACAAAGCACAGGTCATAACAGGCAAAGACAATCAGAAATATAACGCTCGGTAAGTTCTTGGAATAAACAATACCTTGCAATGTCTACATCTAAAGCCCGGGCTTATATACTGAACTAATACGGTCATATGACAAGATACACAGGTGCACAACATTTGTATTCAGGCGATTGGGAACGCTGATAGGTGCGTGTGCTATTGTCTGATGTCATGTGATCTCCTGAAGGATTGTGGGCAATGGAGTCTGTTTCGGTTTCCGAGTCCGAGGGAAGTTGTTTTGACATGTGATCTCCACATGCATGCTGGGAAATGAAGTCCGAATCTTCCCGATGCGTGACATAATCCAGTTGAAGTTTTAGTAAATTTTAGCTGAATGTGATCTGTAATTTACTACAACTTCTGCTAAATTAGCTAATATGCTAGCTAGCCTAACTGCTACCCAAACTACATCCTGGCCAACTGTTTGCTGCCTGTTTGCCTCTTTTCCTTAAACAACATGTAGGTAAATATAGAAAATAAAACTGTTTTTGCTTCTCTACAGATACAAGAGCCGATTGCAGGTTACAGACTTTCAGACGTAAGTATGATCAATTCAAGTGTAATTTTATGGGTTACAGAGTCATTTTCCAACTTTATATAAAAAAGAATATTTCCATGGTTAAGCTAAACTTTCTGAATTCATTGCACATGGAAAACATGCAACCCATCATTGTGGTTCAGGCTGAATATGACTGGGAACCATTACATTCATGAGTGACCACTTGAGCCAGCTGAGCAAAATCAGGTAAGAACATTTCATCATGATTACTCATCATTAATGCTGAGTGATTTTGATTTCTACGTCCTATCCTCCTCAGCCTCAGTTAGAAACCTATTTCCCTTCTTTTCAGAATGGATAAGTCATTCAGGATGACATTCTTGTTTAATGGGAAAGCTCAGGAATTCATCGACATATACACTGGATGTCGCTCCAGAATGAACAAGTTCCTAACAGGTCTAAAAGAGACTGAGAATAAGTTGGATAAACTGGAGACGGGGTCCAGAATTTCCACTGTGACTGGGAGTTCGGTAGGCGTTGCAGGAGGTGCCTTGTCCATCACAGGCCTGGCTCTTGTCCCTGTCAGTGGAGGATTATCCCTGGCCCTCACATTTACTGGGATTGGACTGGGTGTCTTAAGTGGAATCACCAGAGTAGTCACAGACATCAATAAAATGGCTAAGAAGAAGAAGCACGGGAAAAAGGCCAACAATATCTTTGAGAGTTTTAAGGAGGATGTGGATAAGGTCCTAGATTGTCTAGAGCAGACAGGTAGAAGTCAGCGTCCTGCACCACATGTGGATGAGGGTAATATAGCACTTGGGGCTGTGAAAGCAATAGGCACGACTGGGGCAGTGGTCAAAGGCGTTAAAGATATGGTCCAGAAAGGGCAGGCTTTGAGCGCTATGGACGGTGTACGGACGGGTAAGAAGTTAGTCTGTATGGGACTTAAAGAAGCTAAAGTAGCCCAGAAAATCCCCATTGGAGACATAGTAAAGGTTTCTTCTCAATTCATTTCAAAAGCAGCCAGAGTTGGGGCTGTTGCTATAAATGTTCTGTTTATTGGTATCGATCTTAAGACCATCTATAATGAATGTAAGAACCTGGACCAAGGGAAAAAAAGCAAAGCATCTCAGCTCATCTTCTCTAGGTCAGCTCTGTGGCACTCCGAGATGGAGGCGTGGGAAAAGATCCATGACTCTCTGTTCAAAGGAAAAGAGACATTCGAGAGGAACCTGGAAATTCTAGACCAGCAATTTTACTGTTAAAGGAAAAACTGGATCAAAGAAATTTAAGTGGCTAACGGTTTATGAAAGGTCTTAGATTGTCTAGAGCAGATATGAAAACTAGGGTCCACCAATTAGTGTCATTTGTAAAGATTGAATTTCTAATTCAAATGTAGTATTTTGTAATAGCTCAAAACATCCTCATCGAACACCAGGTTTTACATGGAGATGAAAATGTATGTTATAGAAGTGTACATTGGTCACATTGTGTGTTGAAGTGCAGTCTCAGCAGCATTGTAACAGAGAAGGTTTGCAAAAAATTTAGGCACCCCTCCTGCACAATTAGAATTTTACACTCTGGAATTAAAATAAAACATAAAGAAGAGAATTGTGCAAACCACATTTTATGTTTTACTTTTGTCCAAAATGTGAAACAGGCAAATATATGGAAAGTGTGCACTAAAATGTAAAGAAAAATGCTAAATGTTATATTTATTTAGTGCAAAATGTAAATAAAAACAGAAAACACTATATTTAATTAAAAATTTTACAAAGACAACAAGTCAAATCAAATGTTGAAACTAAAAATTTTATTGTTTTTTTAAGAAACATTGATGCATGTCCATTTTGAAATTGTTGCTCGCAATACCTTTCAAAAAAGTCGGGACATTAAAAGATTCAGAAAATCCAAAGAAATCTCTGTATTCAAGAGACAAGACTGAAAACTAATACTGGATGGCCATGATCTTTGGGGCTTCAGATGGTACTGCATTAAAAACAGACATGATTATACAGTGGAAATCACTGCATGGGCTCAGAAAAACCAATGGCAGATTAAAACACTACCATCAAAAAAGAAACCATATAAAACAGGATCCAGAAACACTGCCACCTTCTCTGGGCCTGAGCTCATTTAAGATGGATTGAGGTGAAGCAGAAAAGTTTCCTGTGGTCCAACAAATCAGAATCTAAAATTCTTTTTTGCAATCTTGGATGCTGCATCCTCTAGACTGAAGAAGAGGGGGACCATGCATGCATCTTATTTTCCGTGCACAGTTAACATGCGTCAACAGCATCTGTGATGGTATACATTAGTGCACATGGCATGGGTGATTTGCACATCTGTGAAGGCATCATTAATGCTGAATGATATATACAGGGTTTGGAACTATGCCAAACTACATTCTGCATGTATTACAACAGCATTGCTCCATAGTGAAAGAGTCTGTGTGCTAAGCTGGCCTGTCTACCGTCCAGATCTGTCACCCGTTGAAAACATTTGCCACTCTATGAAATGAAAAATGCGACAAAGGAAACCCTGAATTGTTGAGCGGCTGAAATCCTGTATCAATCAAGAACAGGAAAATATTTCACTTTCAAAACTACAGCAGTGTCTCCTCAGTTCCCAAACACCTACAGTGTGTTGTTAAAAGCAGAGGTGATGAAACACAGTGGTAAACACACCCCCGTCCCAACGTTTTTGGAAAATGAGCATGTGGTTTTCAAAAAACAATGATTTTTTTACTTTCAACACTTGATATGTTGTCTTTGTACTATTTTTAATGAACTAAAAGGGTTTAAATGATCTGCACGTCATTGCATTCTGTCTATTTTTTGGAAAGGGGATTGTGCGTAATTTGACCAGGGCTGTTCAAACTTTTGTATATGGCTGTGCTTAAGTACTGTATCTATACTTGATATTGTATACACCTTCACATCAAATTCACATCAAATATACTTTTTCTACCTTATGAAAAAAATGAGAATACTTTATACAATTACATTTTCTACCACATTGTCATTTATGTTTGCATTCATATTTACACAACAGAACTATGGGGATCTTAATCATAGTAGAATGTTAGGGATGCACAATGATATCAGAATTCTATCAGTATAGGCAGATAATTGGTTAAAAGTAGGGTCAGGGTTTAGGACAGACACTTCTCAATAGAAATTACCCTGTAAATGATGATTATTATTATTGCTCTGTTAAATCTTTGATGTCTTGGGTTAAAATATATCATAAAATATTTCTTGTAATCATCTAAGGTCTGTATCATTAATTGTATTTTTTACTGTAGGACTGCAATTTAAACTAATTTAGTAGAATTCCATAAATGCAAGTACTGCATTTACACTCTGCTGAGAAAACTGATTTACTGTCTAACACAAACATGACAAGAGATACATTTGTGTGTGTATATACTTTGTGCTGGACTTTTAATTTGACTTCAGAGAGCTTTTTCAAAGACTTTACATTCATCTTTATCTGTATATCCAGGACACGCCTTAGTGTGCTGTAATGTTTTATGCCGCTCTTTCTCCTGCCATTGTGCTCTAGTGTCATTGATAACAGGGCCTTCCTGGAATTACTGGGACCCTGGAAAAATTTCTATGTTGGTCTTTACTTTAACCTAATCATCAGTAAAGGTAAAATAAAATTAATAAAAAAAATTCCTTTGAATAAAATTTCTGATTGGTTTTCTGGTTCCTCAGCCTGTTTTTGTCTTTGTCAACCGCATATTGGGTATTGTATTATTTAAAGAAAAGTTCAATAAATTTTACTGTTGAAAATGAACTAAATTTTAAGATAAACCTTTACAACAACTTATTTTTTTTTTTTGTAAAATAAATTGACATCAAATTAGATTTTTTGACTTGTGTTGTATTTCTGCCTCAACAAAACTTTAACAAAAATAAAGAAAAAAGAAAAAATAATACTGGCCAACAAAGCTCAGTTGGAATCTATGAGAAAAGATTGGAATTGTACGTCTTTGTAAAGGGGCCTATAAGCTAAGTGGTCAGTGAGTGGAAGCACAGGGTGGGTGTTTCTAATAAAGTGAAAAATAAAAAGATCATCGTCTCACTGAGCACACTCCTCCACCTCACATGAGTCATCTTTATTTAATCTTCTGAACACTGTGTTCAGGTTCAGAAGCCCCCCCAGTGACCTCAGCATTACTACTTTGATTGCTAATATATCATATTTGAAATATTTTCAAATACATTGGGATCCAAAAGAAACCACATTGTTTTTTTTTTAATTTAAACATGAAAATTAACAACAAAAAGTTTTACAATTTTGCAAACAATAAAACCAAGAAAAGTCATGACAAAGTGAAATGAAGAAGAAATATTCAAGATCAAATTTGGTTTTATTGACCATAGTAAGGGCTTTGCACAAAAAGGTCAGATTTATTTATTTGTTTGTGTATTTATTTTGTTATGTTTTATTCTTTCATTGAAGTTTGTGTTTAGTCTACAGTGTTGTTAAAGCAAAAGAGAGGAAAAAATCTGAAATTTGCATAAAAATTTCAAAGATGCTACTTTTAACTCGAACTGTTATGCGGATAATATAGTTTGGAATGAAAAACATTGTATTAATTTTAAAAAATGCAAAATAGAAGCCCATTCATTATAGTTGTTTTATTTGTTATTTTATTATAAAATCGTCCATTTTTGAGAGGTAATCTTCACTTGGAAGACTAACTAATTCCCTGTAGATTGTTTCTTTGAGATGGTCGGACTAGCCGCTGCTTGTGGTTCGCCAATCCTACAGTACCCACTTAGAAAAGATCTTTGGTAAAGGCAATGAGTTCTATGTAGAACCATTTGAATTTCTATCATCTATTTATATCGCTGTCTCTGGGCAGACTGTTTGAGGATGAAGCACTTGCCAATCGCAGCGCAGCGGGGGCGGAGCTTGACGGAAAGAGGCGGAGAGGCGACGTAACCCAAAGGAAAGTGAAAGTTAAGATAAGATTAGTTAACAGCCGTAAAGTAAGTATTAAAGTTAAGCTATTTGGCGCAGAGATGTTCATTATATATCTATATAAATATAGATATTCATAGCCAGTAAGTGTGGAATCTTTTATTTTAAACGTAGTTTTCCATTTTACCGCTAGTAAAACCTCTGGCGTCTGTAGCAGATGTTACACTGCTTTAATGACCGTCTATGAAAAGTTCTATAGACTTTGAAAGACGTTTTTGAAGTGAATTGCATCTGAACTGAACTGATGTCATGGTCAGTCAAGTCCAGCTAAAAGTGATGTGGCCACTTTATTATCCACAGTTCCACTTGAGCACCTCTGTTTGGTCTGAAGAACCTTTTTTTTTGCTCCAGAGAGAAGTGGGCTTGTCTACATCTGATGAAGAACTGATTTGAGAACTTACCAGAGTGTCCAGCAGCTTTGAATGTCCATCCAATGGATTCCACAACCACGTTAGTAGTTTGGGCTCAACAATTTTTGGACACTAAACCTTAAGTATATATAGATAATTAACCTATAAGTATGCACTTAAAAATGTGGTTCTTCAAGGGTTCTTTAGGAAATGTGCAATAGACACACATGAACTAATAAAACCTGACTCCGAGACTATGGGTAGTAAACACTGGAGGCGAAATGCACATATCGCAGCTTATTATTTTTGACTGCCTCCAAATGAAACATTATCTGTATTATCTAATAAAGAATGCACTTCATCTCATTTCAGTCTTCTTAATGGATAGTGAAATTGTAAAGTAGGCATAGCAGCATTCACACAATGTTGTGGACATCAGCGCTCGAGTGTCTTACGTTTTTTCATCTTAGCACTATGTTGTGCCAATTTTTTCTCCCATATGTTTCATAAATATGAATGTGTTCATTGTAAAGGAATTCCCACTGGTGTTTTTTTAAGTGTTATGTGAAAGACGCTCTGTGTATAAAATACAGATCACAAGGTCTGCTCTTATTTTCTGTTATCACCATGGACACACCCTGTTTGTGGAGAACAGGATTAGGGGGAGCTTTTATGTGTGTGAGAGTTTTGTAGTTTCAGCAGAATGAAGGAAGCAGAGTGGAGACTGATTTACAAGCACTGCCTATGTCTGCCTTTAGAGGGCAGCATCACATGATTTCAGCAGTTACAGTAGGACTGTTTCTCTGATGTAAATAAAACAGCATTTTATTAGCACAAATCAGTGTATAAATGACTACAGCCTCAGTAAATATATCAGCAGTCATATATTATGAGACCTTTTTTTGTGACTTGCTTCAAGTGCATAACACATCCAGTGTTACTAAGGCTGCAGTTTACTTGCATAATATTAATATTAATGAATAAACTTTTACAGAGATATTGATAAAGATTTTATTCTGCCTGACACGGCTATCAGGCATTTTTACCTGCATGGCCAACATTTTTAAGTTTGCTTGTGGACAGGAACATACAGAGCACTTGTATTTTTAGCCACTGGGCCTGCACCTGTAACAGAATCCTCTTATTCAGGTAACCATGCGGAAAATATCTGTGGTAAATGGTCAAATCAGGTTTGCTGGATTTCGTTTCCTTTTGCTTTATCTTTTATTTGACAGTGATTAAGCTCTAGCTCACACTCAGTTTCAGCTTCAGAGTTAGGGACCGTCTACAAGTTCCTGGGATGATGTGTCCAGATTAATTTACAGAGAAATTACTACTACTACAACCACTAATAATAATAATAATAATAATAATAATAATAATAATAATAATCAAACAAAAGAAACTGTTTGTCTTCCAGTAAATTTTAGATGGTTCCTAACTCTGAAGTGTGAATGTCACATGAACGTTACCACCCAGTACTGTGGTCTCTGTAGCCGCTTAGCTTAGTCTGATTGTACAAGAGCTGAGACGAGACAGTGTTTTTCACAAAACATTTTTTTTTTTTTTGAGTATTTTCAGAGCAGGGGGCTTTTATTTTTGTGTTAGCTTTGGCTACTGTACATAGCCAGCCATGCATCTAGCTAACATTGACAGAGTCATAAGAAATTCTCATGAGCTGGTTTATAATTAGCAAACAATAAAAACATTACAAGCATATGCATTAGCTGATCAACTTATGACACTTACTTGTCATCGCTTAACATTAACACTCATCTTGCACTCGTTCTTGTAGGTTCAGTTACCTAAACTCTCTCCAACATTTTAAATGTGGACTGCAGTACCCATTTTAAACACTTGCTGTCAGTATTACATATTGCTCCTTTAAAGGGTAGAACTAGCTCAACGTAGCTTAGGAAAAAAAGATTTCCAAGGACCACTGTTGATCTGAAATAAAAGCAAAAGGGAAAAATTTGTCTTTTTGTTCTCTCATGCGCTCACTCAGGTTTGTTCTCAGAGAGCCCTCATGTTACCTTTCTGACAGACATGATTTGTACTGATGGTAAAACCTCATTCTTTGTTCATATTGCTCTTGTGTTATTGTTTTGCTATCCAGTGTTGACCAGAAAATGATGATGGAAGATTTTGAATGAATACATCCTTAATCAATAAGTAAATAGATTAGACATGTTATCAATAATCAAATAGTTACGCATTGACTAAAAGGGAATATTAAATTCTCACTAAGAGGTAACATAAGAAGCGTTAGGCCATAGTCTGCCAGTTTGGGTAATTTGCAAAATGGACTTAGCTGACCTTACGTGCAGGTGCACAAAGTGAACTCTCATGAACCCACATGATATCATAGAAGGCCTTGTAGGATGAGATGAATACAGTTGAACTTAAGGGAGCCAAGTGATGGGGAAGTTTTGAATCTCATGGAAACTAATGGAACATCAAGTTTGATAAGAAAAATGAGGGGACATCATAAAACCCCAGATAAAGGTATAGAAGGTGTTGTCTGAATATTGTATTTGCCAGTCGGTCCCCGGAGACCCTCGCGCCACCTGATGCTGGAATGAAAAGAAGCCTTTTTCCTTTCCAGAACCTCGGCGTCTGAAGTCTTTTTTCTTTTTGACATCTTTTGAGAAACTTAGAATTTAAAACAGTTATTAGTGTAAGTGAAAGATTTCTTTTTTAATAATATCATGTTGGAGGCCTGGGGTTGAAGGGGATAGCCCTTGGTCCTGAAAATGGGTTCCCTGTTAGAGTCTTGGTTCCTCTCAAGGTTTTTTTCTCTTGCTCTTAGGGAGTTTTTCCTTGCCGCTGTTGCCATTGGAGACGCTCATAGGGGCTTGGACCTGTATTTTTCTGTAACGCTGCTTTGTGACAATGTCTGTTGTAAAAACGCTATATTAATAAACATTTTCCCCTTAAAGTGAACATGAATCAGAAATCAGAACACATTTTTCTTTCTGTATGTGTTGTATTTCCAAGTTAAACAACTTGGGTAGGATATAATTGTGGGTGCAACATGAGTTTACTCTTCAGGATTTGATTGGATCATGAAGAGTGGCAAAAAGTGATAAACATCCTGACTTTTCTTGGAAAGGTACTGCAGGCATCATATTTGAAAGGAGGATATTTGTAGTAAAAAAGTTCATAATGTAAAGAATGTCAATTGAATACAGGTCAAGTAGAGTTAATAATCACTAATAATCACTGTATTCTGCTTTCATTAGCATTTCACACACAGTCCTAAATGTTTTTTGCTATTATGCTATTATTGATCATCTTAAAGCAATTGTTTTGTCAAAAACCTAATTATAACAATATCTCTTTATTTCTGTATTTTTCTGTACATTTGTCCATTTAATGGATGACAGTATATTGTACAGAGCTGAGCCTACTGGTCCTAGGGAGTATATATTGCTTCTAGAAGCAAGGGACAAAAACCGATGAAGCTTGCAGCCTTTAAGTGAGGCGAAGAATCATTCTGTGCTGGACATTTGCCACCTCTAACTCTTATTTTATATACAGGAGGAGAGAGAGAGAGAGAATAAATCCCCAGTCATATAGTAAAGCCTGTATGGTCTTCTTCTTCACTGGTTACACAATGCAATGCAATTGTGCAACATACAAATATTTGCACAAGCAGAAGTAGTGGTTGTGGTGTGCTTTTGGTTAAAGAACTCTCAGGATTAGTATAAAATCTAGTTGTAGAAGTGCAGCGCTACTACCTGTATCATCCACTCAGAAGTAAGTTTGTTGCTGTTGTGACCTAACACTGATTTGTCCCTTAGTGAAATCTCAAAATTATAAAATAACATTGATTCATATAGTGAAATACAAATTAATCATACAGTGAAATGAGTTTATTATGCAAATAAGTTCATTACATAGAACATGGTCAACACAAAATCAATAATACAGCATGTAAACATAAAAATAACACAGCTATTAGAATAAAGTGAACAAAAAGTCTGTCATTCAACAGAAAGAAAAAGTAAGAGCAGATCTACAGACTAAAGGTCATGAGGAAACCGAACAGCAATGCATCACCCATAAAGCAGGAGAGGTACAGCAGTATTAGCATGATTTGGCTAGACCTTAGTAGAATTGATCGACAGGACAGAGAGAAAAGATGAGTCTTTAACTGGGATTTGAAGGCTGAGATGGCGAGGCAGGGTGTGAATCTGGGGCTGGTTTACATAAGAGACAGTGTTCAACAGAGTACATTACTTTAGCATGTCTTACCAATTTAGCAGTTTTCATTCATGAACCATAAGAATAAGTGCCAGAAAGAAAATTCATTTACAGCATGTTAACTGTCATAGCTTTCTCTAGTTTCCATTATATCTCTAGATAATAAAAAACAATGATATGGAAAACAAAAAAAATAACAAACAAAAAAACATTTAGAAAAAGCGATCAATTAACCTAACATGAGCAAAGTGGTTAACTAAGCATTGTCTGCTAAAGTAGCTGTTAGCAAGTAAAAAAGTTATCAATTTGTTTTTGTCTTGTCAATTAATATGTGATCATTTTAATGTTATACTCTGGCATTTTAACCGAAATATTCCATTAATGCTGAGAAGTCTAAATTATTTTTTACATAATTTGCGATTCTTTTAATACACTTCAGACACTTTTTCATTTGTGACCTAATCATTTCAATATTGGTAAAGGATTGCTGCAGAATTTCAAAGTTGTCCTGGAACGTCTCTTTCCCTTTCACACAGATGGTCATGGATCTTATCCCACGCCTCTAACTCTGAGAGCCACAGAGCTGATCTGGAGCGGATGAGCTGAGACGCTTCACTTTTTTTCCCTTTAGCCAGACTCACGCTTTCTTTACAGATAAATGCCAGATCTAGACCAATGAAGAGGGCGTTTAGAGTGATAAACCCGGCCCTGGCTGCTTTTGTCATTGCCAGAGGAGTGCCCTTAGCCAGCTGCCCGATGTCAGGCAGGTCTGCAGCAAGGCTGGGGATGTTCCGAGATGCTTTAGCTTCCTGAAGGCCCACATTGGCTGCACTTCTGAGAGCTTTCACAGCTGAAGCTCCATCAACGAGGGCATCAATACCTTTGCCTACTGTTCCAGCCCTGGCTGTCACTTTTACAGCTCCAAGTGCCACACCACTCTCATCCAGGTTTGGTAAAGGACACTGACTACCTACCTGTTCTAGACAATCTATGATTTTCTGCACATCCTCCATGAATCTCTGAAAGATGTTGTTGGCCTTTTTCCCATGATGTCTATTGACTGCCATTTCAGTGATGCCTGTGACTAAACTGTTGACCCCACTGGTGACCCCCATCCCAACCCCAGTGAGTGTGAGGGCCAGGGATACTCCTGCAGTGACGGGGGCGAGAGCCAGGCCTACGATGGACAGGATACCTCCTATAGCACCCACTGAACTGCCCGCCACAGTGGAGATGCTGGACCCCGTCTTCATTTTATCCAACTTGACTGCAGTCCCCTCTAGATCTGACAGGAACTGGAACATTTCAGATCGGCATCCAGTGTATATATCAACGAATTCCTGAGCTTTTTCATTAAATAAGAATGACATCCTGAATGACTCGTCCATTCTGAAAGAAAGAGGTTACGTTTAAAAAAACGATGCAACAGGACAAACACATCCCAAATAATTAAAGGGTCTGTATCGTGGAAAACTGAATTTTTAAAAAATAAAAATCATGTATTCTCTCCATTTAGTCTATATACTCTATACAGGGAAACTACGCTGTTTCTTGTACATTAAACCACAGACCATGGATAAAATCTAAGAAAAATGTAGGATTCGGGCCTTTGAAATTAAAAAAGAGTAAAAAATTTGAAATGCTCTTACCTGATTTTGCTCAAGGGGTCAATCATGTTTTTCATAGACTCACTTAGGGTGAAACTGAATTGAGATGAAGGGTTGCTGTTTTTTCACATGTAATAAATCAAAAAGCATATACATTTAAATATTATGTTAAAGAACAAACAGAGAAGGCAAAAAGAGTTACATTTATATTGATGTCACTTACTCCTGTATGCCTATAACTTCCAATGTGCCCTTGGATCTGTAGAGAAAAAAAAGCATGAGTATTTACCTAAATTGATTAGAATAATTACAATTATTCTGTTGTACAATATATTCACAGCACGTGGTACAACTGACTTAATCACTTACTTCATTCTTTCGAACAGCTCTTGTGTGATGCGGATGTATTTGTCCAGCTGGATGCCAGGACGTCCACATTTCCCAGCCTAGGCAAGAAGAAAGCTCGATCATCTCTCTTGAAGTGGATGAGGAGCGGAGACGCAGTTCTGGCTGCTGAGATCACCGATCGTACACCTCAGTGTTCACTCCCTCCAACAGGAAGCTCTTGTCCATGAACACGAACAGTGAGGTGACTGCTAGCCTCTCTACTGCGTCCAGGAAGCGATGAAGTTTCTTCAGCCCCTCCAGAGTGTTCTTCAGAACTTCACCCAGCTCCTTCTCCAGCTTCTCTTTTCTGAAACGGCCTAAGAATTTTTCTGCACGGCTTTTGATGTCTCTCATCATCTCCAGCTCTGTCTCTCTGAAAAGGGTCCATTGTTTTTCTGTGTCACAGAAGTCCTTCACTGTTTTGATGTAGCTGAGGGTCTCTAAGATGTACTCTCGCAGTTGTTCCTCTCTGTGCAAAAATAAAGAGGTGTAAATGAGGGGAATTCCTGAAGTAGCCAAATAAACAGACGGCCCTGAAATGCTACAACATGTTCCCACTGAGTGATGGATACTTAAGAAGCTCCTATCACACAAAGTTTCATTTTCTGCTCTTTTTTTTAAAAAATAAAGGACTTTGTTCTCTGTTGTAGTATGTAAACATTACATTTTAAACTGTGGCATTTACTCATACAGTCCATACTGTCCATCTATGGAAGCTAAGCTGCAAAAACAGCCCGTTTTGAAATCATTGTTGTTGTGATGTCATGGAAACTGATATATTTGCATATGTCCATCCGTTCAGTCTACAGCAGTTTAGCTCCACACACCCTCGCTGAAGTTATAGAAGGGTTTTACACAGGGCTGCTTATTAAACAAGGAGCAATACAGAACAATCAATCAGAACGGAGATCATTTACATACAACATTATGCAAACTTTGGGTGCCCCTGATCAAATGGTATGTTATTTTTTTATGTTTTGAGAGGCCCTCGTCCACTTAGCCGTGCCATTTTTCCTCAGGGGAATTCCCAGTGCCTCCTTAAGGGCGTTTCTACACTATGGGTAAGACAAAAATTCTTATCTACTCACCTGGTATCTATTTGATTTCCTCTGAAGAACTTCACAAAACTGAATAAAACACAGTTAGTTCAAATCTTAAATTTTCACGTTTTATTGTTTGTCATTGTAACAAAACTAATGCCTATAAAACATTAAAAAAACATGTCATATTGATCATAAAGTAAGCTCCAAAGATCTTGGAAAACACAACACTACTGCCTTTGCATTTTCATTAGTGTTGAATATTGATCTTTTCAATTGTAACAGTTCAGTTACAATTAAACTATTACTTTGTCACATTACTTAAATATATAAAAAAGGTATTTCCATTTTTTTGCAATTTTTACTTTTCTGCATAACTTGAGCTCAGCTGTCCTTTGCATTGTGTGAAAAAGTCACGATGATTGTATCAGTAGAAACTGCTTAGAGCAAAACCTCTTTGCATTAACATACACTGAAAGTAAAAGAACATTTTTGCTATCTTCCATCAAGTTACTATTGGGGAAATACCTGTTTTTCTTTGGTCAGCGATGATATGTTTTGATGAAAAAGTCTGTGTACTTACTATTGTCCCATTTTGTTGAGTGGAACTGCAGATAGAACAAGTTCACTCCTGTATCACAGTGAAGAGCAACAGCCTTCCCTTTTGTTTAACAGACCGATGTCAGTTTCATTTTCTTTTAACATCTGCCAGCCAGGCCCTCAGTTACACCTACTGAGAAGTAGCTTCCCTTTGGATCCTCCCCTTTATTACTCATATCTGTTTTACATACATTTCATGCCTCTTTTCATGGAATGTATTTTATTTTAACCATTACAGTGTCGATTTAAGACTAAAGACATTTATTTAAAGGACAAGTTCTCTAATGTTCAGCTTGAAGTGTTGCTTGTGCATTCTCATTTCAAGATAATTTGTGCCAAATTATGTTTTAAGAAAAAACTGTTTTAAAATCTTAAAATGAGTAATATGCTGGTTTTTGTTCATTTTAGATTATATATTGTATACTTCCCTATGCTTTTTGGAAGACATCTGAGATGAGTGTGTGAGTGGGAGGGGGCAGCTTTTGTATAGCGTGTTTTAACCCAGAATTTTCTTATCTGTGATGAAAGGCTTGTTTTCTGGGCATTGATTTTATATTGAAATTAGAAGACTCTCAGTAGAATTCGTGCAGGGGCATGGGCGAGGCTGGGGTCCTCATTGAGCTGCTTTTTATTGTTCAAAATTGGCTGCAGTGGACCACAGCATTGTGAGACCATAAGCGTCATGGAACAGAGGAGTGCTGTAGAATGAATATAGACAAGTTTAAGTTTTTATACTGTACTTGTTTTAATTCAATGAAATAAAACGTTCAGCATCATTCATCACGCTTGGCATCAGTTTAATACCTCTTCACAAACTCGCTGTTTTAGAGCTGAAAGATATGAGCTGAAAAAGGCTACGCTAGCACTGAGCTGAATTCAGAACCATCTGCCAACTGTGTTTGCACACTGTGGAATTAGACGTCCGCATTTAACCCATCCGTGCAGTGAAACACCCACATACATGCACACATACATGAACACACACACACACTGGGAAAGTGTGCTCACTGCACCCTAGAGCAGTGGGCAGCCCTATCCACGGCGCCCAAAGAGCAATTGGGGGTTAGGTGCCTTGCTCAAAGTCACTTCAGTCATGGTCTGTCAGCCGAGGGGATCGAACCGGCGATAGAACTGAAATTACGAATAAATCGTCTATAGAAGTTGGCAAAACCTAAGAACCTCTCACGTTCAATACTTGTGGGCGTAGGCCAGTTGAGAATGGCCTTTTGGATCACCCATCAAAGCACCCTGAGTACTAATAACATCTGAGAAAGGAAACTTTTTGAAAATGAAACTCACATTTCTCACCTTTAACAAACAGGTAATTTCGAGTAATCAACGGAGGACCTGACCTACTTGTTGCACATGTGTCTCAGTCAGGGGAGTAGATTAAAATGTCATCAATATAAGCAAGTACAAATTTCCCTATCCTGTCATGGAGGGCATTGTTGATGAAGGACTGGCAGACGGATGGGGCATTACAGAGTACTCATAGTGACCCCTGGTGGTGATAAATGCCGTCTTCCATTCATCTCTGACTTTGTGTACCAAGTTGTTTGCGCTGCGGAGGTCTAATTTAGTAAAACGCTTGAAGCTGCTCTAAAGAAGCAGGGATCAAAGGGATTGGATGACCAAATTTTTTGGTGATATTATTGAGGGTCTATGCATGGTCTGAGACCGCCATCCTTCTTCTTAAAGAAGAAGAAGCCAGATGCGACTTGAGATGGAGAAGGACAAATAAACCGTTGAGCTAACGCCTCATCAGTATACTCTCCCATGGCCTTCTCCACCTCGACACGAAATTTGGGACAGGGGTAGAAACTGGAGCAGGTGTGGAGCACTTAATTTCTTTTAGTTGAGCAGTGATGTCCTTAATCTCAGACAGAAGCTGAGTTAACTGGGTCTGTTGCTCAGCTTGTTGTTGTGTTAAGTTGCCCACGGAGTGAGAAACCTGCTGATGATGGCCCAAGAGCTGACCTTGGGTATTCAGGACCTTCTGAACAGTCTCTATGTCTGCCGCCTGCATGGTGGTGAAGTATCCTGTAACGGTGGCAGATGGAACCAGACGCTCACAGCAGAGGCTTGATTTCAAAACTTTAATATCAAAAGGGCAATTCAAACTCAAAGTCAGTAAACACAAGCAGAAATATCAGAATAGCACAAAAGGGCAACACTAGAATCATAGTCATAAACAGAAAATGGGTTATACACAGAGCAGGAAACAAGACGATGGAAACACTCAGTACACACATTGGTGTTACGATACTTCACAAAGAAACTAGACTGAAGCCCAGGCTTACATACTAAACTAAAAAACAGATGAGATGAGGAACAGGTGTGTGTAATTAGAAATCAGGCAAACTTGAACAGGGATAGGTGGAGGTTCCTGCATCATGTGCTTTAGCGAGGGGTTCTGGGAAACTTAGTCCTGGGTGGCAGGGTGGCTGTAGGCTCAGCCAGAGCCTTTTAAGCACTTTGTCTTCATTTTTCCTTTAATGTTCCTTTTACTTTTATTTATGTAAAGCACATTAAAATGCTTTTGTGTATGAAATATACTATATAAATAAACTTGCCTAGTGTTATTATAATTATTTCATGATACCATCTATCAACATTGTACTGTAAATAACACTAATGTCAAATGAAAATATAATATCTTGATAGTTAACGAAGAATAAAGCTTTATAAACATAATTACTTTCACAGGAACCAAGAATAATTCTGACTGCTTAATCTTGATTCTCACAGTAGCTGACAGCCAATAAAATGTGATAAACAAACCTTTTACAAGACAGCCTATAACAGTAAAGTATTTCCAAAACAGACGATTGTAAAATGAAGAGAAAAATCCCATAAAATTCTCCACTCTTAGTGGAAAAATGAGAAAATAATAGTACTAGACAAAAGCAATAGTGCTAGACAAAATACTAGTACAGTAATCACTCAGAAGTTTTTTGGAGGCCCCCTGGTGGCTGCAGGGCTCTAAGCAGCCACTTATGTTGCTTAATAGGCAGAGCCAGCACTGTTTTCACAGGCTTCATATCAACAGATCACAAGGTCTGTTCATTGGAATTTACCTATCAGGTGTGGTTCCACTTCCATTTGTTTTGTATCACCACAACTTTGCTTTAAACAACTCTATGTAAACTTTAAGTAAACAATCCTGTTTGATATGTCTTGTACATATCAGATTCATCTTATCAGCTTATTCTAATTCCAAAGTCCTCTCCTGTCCACAGCCGTCTTAAAGGGAAAGAAACCACAGGAGCCAAGACATGCATACAGTTTATTGTAGTATTACAGTGGGGTCCCAAAGTCTGAGACCACTAGTGAAAATGCTTCTATTTTGCATTAGTTTCTGAGTAAATACAACATTTTTTATTAAAACCATATCATCAACTAAAAATGTAACAGAAAAATAGAATCTTTGGAATACTTTCAGAAACTTTTAGAATTTCTTGGTATTTGATATGTCCTTCTTTTGATTTAACGGCAGCCTGCACTCGAGCTGGACTCCACAATTCTGGGCAAAAGCCTCTGATGAATAGGTTAAATTCATCCAGGAGTCGTCTGAACACGAGCTTCAATGCAAGTAATAAGACTCAAAAAAAAAAAAAGACCTTTTTTGCACAAAGGCCTTAACACAAATTTGCTGAAATTTGAATTGTGACCAAGAAATGGTGCCAAATCTTTTTCATTTTACTTGTCCTAACAAAGTTTTAAATGTTCTGTGATAAAAATGATAACTGTATCAACTATAAATATGTGTTTTGATTTTTTGTTTGTCAAAATATGAAATCACGAATTGACTGCTCTGTTATATTTTAACATAAAAACATTTCCTCCATGTAATGCTTTAGTCCTGCAGTAATGTTCTCCAAAACAACATTGTGGTTAAAGTATTTTCCCTTAGACTATACCTCTTAAAGTGTTGTGTGTTGTACGCACTCGGAGCATCTTGAGGTTGCTAGTTTGAGCCTCGCTGGGCGCAACTTCATTTCTCTCTTTTTTCTCGTGCTCTCAAGCCTATACTGCTCCGCACGAGTCCGCCTCTGTGCCTTGTAGGTGGCTTGTCCCCTTTGTTCACAGAGAGATATGAGGGGGATCCAGGGCATGGAGAGTGTTCCTGTTGTAGTGCCACCTTGCTTTCGAGCAGCAACCCTTGAGGTTCCCCACTGAATGCTCCAAAGTAGCATTCATAATACCGTTATTCACTGATCGAGCTCTGTTGTGGGCCACGCTGGTTTGGGAGCATGAGCTGTTCATTGCAGCTATGCACCATACCTTCAACCACTCAGTGTGCGGAGGAGTGGTTGGCTCGCGTCTCATGCCAATATGCCAGAGCAAGTGTTCAGTGGCAGATTGCACTTTTGAGCTTTCAGCGGCCAGAACGTGAAGGCCCTAATGGCTGCCTTTTAACTGGGCCTCAGTGGTGAGGTGAAAAATGATGTGGCCACTCGAGAGGCTCCCACTTCTCTTGAGAAATTGCTAGAGCAGAGCTTGCAGCTGGATAACTGGCTACAAGAGTGCTGCAGAGAATGGGACCACAGACCACACAAACAGACCCACAGTATCACAGATCCACCACCTTACTTCACAGTGGGGATGAGGTACTTTTCTGCATGGCTATGTTTGTGTCCACGCCAACCTCACCTCTGGTGTTTGTTGCCAGATAGCTCTTTTTGGTCTCATCTGACCACAGAACACAGTCCCACTGAAAGTTCCAGAACTGTCTGGCAAACTGTAGGCGCTTGAGTTTATTGGTCCTTGACAGCAAAGGCTTGCTTCTGGCAACCCCCCCCCAAACAATTTGTGGTTATACAGGTGGTGTTTGATTGTGAGTTGGGAGAATTTCTGACCCCAAGACTTACCTAATGTTTTTAGTTTCCTAGCTTTGATCCTTGGAAAGCTTTTGTCCACTCGAACCATCCTCCTCACTGTGCATGGGGTCAGTATAGGCACCCATTATCTTCCTGGCAAATTCTTAACATCTCCAGTTACTTTAAACTTCTTAATTATTATCCTATAGTGGAAATGGGCATTTTCAACTGTTACGTTCTTTTCCATTTCCTGATTTGTGCAGCTGAAATTCCTTTTGTCACACATCATTGCTGATTTCTCTGGTCTTTCTCATAGTGATGGATGA